CAACAGCTCAAAATACATAGTAAAAACAAAGAGAACGTTACGTGGCAGGTGAGCTTATGTATTCAAATGGCCATTGCAATAAAATTAAAGAGCCTCCATTTTGTTTAAATGTACATGGGGATTTAGGCCAGAGCGCAGGCTGCATTAAGCCTTTGGAATTCTCTACCCCATGCAATCAGACTCTCACCTAGTCTCCAGCCCTTTAAGAAGTCACTGAAAACACACCATCTTCCTTCACTGTCATCATCAGTTCCCTCACCTCCATAGCCTAGCTCACTCTTTCTCCTGCCACTGTTCGGTACTTCCACACACTACTTTTACTAGCTGATTTACACAGGCATCTTATCCATCAACCCCTCCTCCCCTCTGACATGCTTTTATTTCTCTTACTATGAGACTGTAAGCTTGTTTGAGCAGGACCTTCTTTACTTTTTGTCTCTGTTATATTACAAATGTAAATCACTTGCCAAATATCCCCATTTTATAATTGTAAAGCGCTGCAGAATATGTTGGCGCTATATAACTGATAAGTTTATCCACATGGTGATGACGTCTCACCCTTTGGGTTCTAGTACTTGAGAACACGTTACTGATTAAATTAATAAATGGTTAATCTATTTTTTTCAGACTACACTCTTCTTTAAAATGTTTACAGTGTGGTAATGTGTTACACGTCCTTTACCTGCCCTCTTTTATCTGCCTAGAATCAGCATCATTTGGCTTATTGACTTACCATTGCATTGCCAGTAAACCCAATCAAACTTTGGTATAGTGCAGAACGTGAATCCATATAAAACAACAATGTACACTTCAAATATTGAAATAAACAGGTGGGTGGGTGGGTGGGTGGGTGTTCTGGAACTGTCTGTAAGCTTGAATCAATGTCTATTACTTGGGATCCACCATAAATGTAGGTGATTTATCTGTTATCAGGGGTCAAGTCCTTGGGGAAAAAAGTGTGGGAACTCACCCAAGATTCTCTCGCAGAGTGTGTATAGTGAATGTAGTGTGTTTGTAGTGAGTGCAGAGTGTGCTTAATGAATGCAGTGCGTAGTGGGTGCAGAGTGTGTATAATGAATGCAGTGTGTAGTGAATGTAGTGTGTTTATAGTGAATGCAGAGTGTGTATAATGAATGTAGAGTGTGTATAATGAATGCAGTGTGTGTAGTGAGTGCAGTGTGTATAATGAATGTAGTGTGTTTGTAGTGAGTGCAGTGTGTGTAGTGAATGTAGTGTGTTTGTAGTGAGTGCAGCTTGTGTATAATGAATGCAGTGTGTGTGTGCTGGATGAAGTGTGTGTGTGTGTGTGTGTGTGTGCTGGAAGATGTATGTGTGTGTGATGTGTGTGTGATGTGTGTGTGCTGGAAGATGTGTGTGTGCTGGATGATGTGTGTGTGTATTTGTGCTGGATGATGTGTGTGTGTGTGCTGGATGATGTGTGTGTGTGCTGGATGATAGGGTGGGAAGCATTTTTTTTCATTTATGTGTTTATATATATTTTTTTTATTCCTCCCTCCCTGCTTCTTACCTTGTCAGGGAGGGGGGAGATCGCCTAGTGGTCCGGTGGTATGGTGGAGGGAGCCAGCCGCTGCACACGGGGGCTCAGCACACTCTGTGTTCCCTCTCCAGCTCTAACTCTCGCGAGACTCGCCTGCGTGCTGTGCGGAGCATTGCCATGATAACCCATGGCAATGCTCTGACAGCCGCGGGTCTCGTGAATGTGATGGGTTATCATGGCAATGCTCCTCACAGCATGCAGGCGAGTCTCGCGAGAGTTAGAGCTGGAGAGGGAACACAGAGTGTGCTGGGCCCCCGTGTGCTGCTAAGCAGGGCTCGAGTCCTGCAGGATCACTTGCGGGAACAGCGTTCCTGCTTTGGAAAAAGTGCAGGAACGCCGTTCCCTTGCGTTCCTGCAGGACTCGAGCCCTGTCTGTTATACTATTTCATATGTTGAGTCTTTTGTTTTGAAAGTATGACGTTTTTGATTGCAGTTCTCAACACACTTTATATTAAATATTGAAATGATTATATAAAATTCAAATCAATGTTATCTTATTCATTTAGTCTTATTTCATTAATTTGAATTATGTTTCTGCTTTCCAGTTAGACAAAGCACTTACATCATTGATCAATGTGACAAAACCACTATAAAACAGATGACCTAGAAACTGTTAATCTGCTGTGTGTTAGTATGTTTATTTGTATAGACCAGACATGGGGTGCTAATATACACACCCACAAATGTTGATAAGGCTTTAATTTGAATTACAAAAAAAACGTCTTGGCTGAAGTCATCTTGCTTTGACATGGGTGAATCATCAATAGGCTACATTAAGATATATGGATTCACATTATTTTTTCGCAAGCCTATTCATTTTTAAAAGCCTACAATCGCCTATATATTTTATGTGTTTGTTATTTCAAAGTTTAAATTGTATTTTCCTTTCATCTAAAAGTGCTGTTTTATTTCCTTTATTATTCAGGTAACTTCTTGACATCTTAATGATTATTTTATCTTCACGGATGAATAAGTCCATTTATTTTCTAATATTTTTGTTTAAACTAGGTGCTAGGCAAAAGTCCATAAACAGGATTCATAGTGTGCAAAATGAATAAACACATAGCAAAAAGAAGAGTGACTGTACAAGTGAAAGAAGGTGAACACAGCATCTTAATTTGACACTATGAATTATCTCCTGGTTAAAAAAAAACACATTCAACTGGCAAAGAACAAGGAATTGTAAGTATGCATTCTATCAACACGTTATATGGATTTCCAGGAGTTCCATTGATTAATGGTAAACACCCAGCTGGGTAATGAATCAAAGGTAAATTAGTAGGAACGGTAAGAGCTCGCCTGAGAGAGTTCAATACTCTGATTACATGGTGAGTGAATGATGAGTACACAGTTGATGACTGTGTTGTGTGTTCTAAGTAACTCAAACAATATTGTCACTATGATATATTTCCTTACCTCTGTATTCCATGCAGGCTGCCTCACATGTAATTGCATCTGATAAATATTGTAACATTTCTTGCTATGCATATGAGATTGGAAAGATCTGCCATTCAAATATAGCTCAGAAATTGTTTGTTTATTTTACTTATTTAGAAAGGAAGAATAGAACTTACAGTAAATGTCTTTCCTTGACGTGTGCAATAAATCAGTTTTCTGTTAACTCATTAGGGACTCACAATTCTGTGTGTTACAAATAAATAGGGTTATTCACTAAAGTGAGAATTGTTGGGAATTTTTTTATTTCAAATTTGAAATTTAAGGCCAAATTGAAATTTTGTGAATTTCAAATTTAAGGCCAAATTGAAGGCTTAACTGACTTGGAGAATTTTTCCAGTTTGCTAAATTTGAAATTCGCTTTGAATTCCCAAGAATGCTCATTTTAGTTTAATGATGCTGTGAGTGTTTTTTTGCACTATTGTTAAATGCAGGTGTATCCTGCTTTCCCATTTAGGACACCTACTCATACGAGCATTATATAAGAATTGTTATATTAAATATTATATATTGTTTATAAAAATACAGATAGAGCTTTCTTCTGATAGCCTATATGTATGCATATCATATCACATATGAGCAAAATACAAATAAATAAATACAAAAATACAAGTGAGGCAGCCAGCTTATCATGTCATGTATGGCAGCAGCCAGGTATCAGCTGTCAGTCATAGAACACATATATCCGATAAAATAAATTAGGTCCAGGCACTCAGGATTGCTGTAGGAAGGCAGGTTTATTGAAACAAAAACTGCAGCGTTTCGGCCTACACAGAGGCCTTTATCAAGCTTCAGTGTAGACCGAAACACTGCAGTTTTTAATCAAGCTTGATAAAGGCCTCTGTGTAGGCCGAAACGCTGCAGTTTTTGTTTCAATAAATTTGCCTTGCTGCAGCAATCCCGAGTGCCTGGACCTAATCTATTTTATTTACTAAATTGGGTTTTGCCAACCCTGGCTCTGATAAGCACCTGGATTGCTCAGTGAGAGTGCGGTATCCTCCATTTGTGAATTACCTTTAGGGCGTGCGAGCAGTGCGGCCACACAGGGTGCCATGGCAACAGGGGCGCCATGCAGCCAACACAGCTCGCACATGCTTGGACACTAGGGCTTGTTAATCCTTCCCTTGCTGCCTCTGTGACACTCAGGTTAATATAGAGGAGAGCCGTGGGGCTGTAGCTGAAGCAGCACACGGATCACGGACAGTCCTGATTTCGGTGAACTCCCAGCTCCTGATAAGAGGCATGCAATTTGAAAGGAGCTGTGAGCAGCAGCAGAGCTAGGGAGGCGGAGTCAGTAAGGAAGCAGACACTCACTCTCCAATCTGACAGCTCCTCTGCTTACATGCTCCACAAAGCATGCTCCTCCAGCCCCCCTCCCTCCTGTCCTTGGCTGACAGTCACTTGCCTGCATTTTACAGCACTGGCCTCTTTCATGGCCTCTGTGCTGGCTGTAGATTCCCCTCAGAGGAGTGCCAGCACCTAACAGCCTTCCTTCCCCTGCTGCTGTGTGACACCCTCCTGCAGATCAGATAATCCTGTCTGGGAGCATGGCTGAGGATAGAGCCATTGGCTGCTGCAGGTCAGTACTCTATGACCTGATATTTCTATTTACTCTCTGTTAGTGCCCCATCTCTGTTAATGCTGCCAGGCTTCAACCATTACAATTCTGTAGGATCTGCCAAACTAATGCCTCCGTAAACCACACTGTAACCGCTGGTGGTTCCTTTATTTACCACTATAATGTCTTAAAGCATAGAACTTAGTAGGGCTAACCATACAGATATCTTAGCCATAATTTTATATAGTGTAAGAGATCCTCTATTTAACATATATAAATAATTGAGAATACAATATAAAATAAGGATTGTCTTGGAAGCAAGATTGTCTTTTGGATATTTATTATATAAAAATATAAAATCCATTATAGCAGAGTTTATAAGATTAAACTAAATGCTTTCAAATATCATTAATAGGTTAACATACCCTTCTGAACATGTCATCATGTCAGCCTCTCTGTCATTTTAAGATGGAGCAGCGTCTGTCTCCAAGTCTCTCCTCTGTGTCTTAACATTTAAAAGTACACCTATTTATACCTTAGGTGTCTCCATTTTAGGTTACTGTAGTTCAAATATGAAAAAGTAACACTTCTTTTACTTTATTCAGTTTAGGACCTCCCTTAATTTGGCAAACATACAAGGCCATAACTAAAGGGTGTATACGTCATGGAAATTTTCCTGACTTAGTTCAAGATGGCATCTTAAAGTCTGAATAGTTTATCTGTTGTTTATACTAAGACGTAAGTGCACAGTCGCGGGAGATTCACGGATTTGGGGAAGTTCCATTAACTTGGGGTTACCACAGTATATTGTGTACTGCAAGTGTCGTAGAATAGCCTTGAAGCTTGTTTATGCATTATTGTTATTGTAATTCGTCTGGGACAAAATGGCGCAAACATTTTATGCATTGAGGTTATTGCTTAAAGAAACATCTATGAAAAACAATGTTCCATTTCTAACACCTTGTCAGTTTGCAATATCTCTTAAAGACAAAGTACACAGTTTAAGAAATACAACATTTAATTCTAAAACTTGTAATATTTGCATTTGCCCGTAACAACACAGTAGCAATATGCATTTGCAAACTGTTGTATGCCAGTGTCTGTGTGTGTGTCATAAGGTACAACGCTCAATGTCTGTGTGACAGTGTTTATGCTAGGGTCTGTGCCAGTGTGTGGCAGGGCCGCCATCAGGGGGTGCCAACCATGACTGTTGTCACGGGCCCGGCGGTCCTGGGGGGCCCGGCTACTCTCGCAGTCCCGGGCCCCACTTTCTCTGCACACATAGCGAATATCGCTATCTATGTGTGCAGCCCCTGGCCCCGGGCTCCCTGTTACCGCAGAGGGGGCCCACCACACTGCCTCCACTCTTCTCTTCTAATAACTCTCGCAAGACCCGGTTACCATGGCAATGCTCTGCGGGTCTCGCGAGTGTTATTGGAAGAGAAGAGTAGAAGCAGTGTGCTGGGCCGCCTCTGCAGTAACAGGGAGCCGGGGGGCCCCCATGCCACCGGACCACCACAGATCATGGAATCTCCCCCCTCCCTGCACACAGGTAACCAGGGAGGGGGGAGAAACATTTAATTTAATATACACTAACACAACACACACATTGCATACACTAACACAACACACACACTGCATACACTAACACACACTGCATACACTAACACAACACACACACTACATACACTAACACAACACACACACACTACATACACTCACACTACATACACTAACACAACACACACTAACACAACAAACACTCTGCATACACTAACACAACACACACTCTGCATACACTAACACAACACACACTCTGCATACACCAGACCTTATGCATTGTCAGGGGCTCCAAAATTTCTGATGGCAGCCCTGGTGTGTGGTGTGTGTTTCAGTTAGTGCTTGTGACAGTGAATGCCTGTGGTAGTGAGTCCTTGTGTCAATGTGTGTTAGTGAGTATTTGTGCCAGTGTATGTGTATGAGTGCTTGTGTCAGTGTGTGTGTGTGTGTGTGTGTGTCAGTGCCTGTGTCAGTGAGTTCTTGTGTCAATGTGTGTTAGTGAGTACTTGTACCAGTGTGTGTGTCAGTGAGTTTGTGTGTTAATGTGTTTTAGTGAATGATTGTGCCAGTGAGTGCTTGTGGCAGTAAATGTGTGTGTTAGTGGGAGCTTGCTCATTGTATGTGTGTCAATGAGTGCCTGTGTGTTTCTGTCAGTGACTGCACGTCACTTTTTATGTTATTGATTGTATGCAGGGCCGGCGCGTCTATAAGGCGGCACAAGCGGCCGCCTTAGGGCGCACAGGCTCTGGGGGCGCAATATTTCAGTGACCGGCAGGAGGGAAGCTCTCCCTCCTGCCAGGCCACCATCTCGACCCCCGGCGCGGCAGTGCTGTGATCAGAGGCGGCGAGGGAGCTCTAATCTCCACCCTCTGCTCCCTCGCGTGCTGTCTGCTGGTGCCGCGGGAGCTGGAATATGACGTCATCAACCCGGCTCCCCCGGCATCAGTAGGCAGCCCGCGAGGGAGCAGAGGGTGGAGATTAGAGCTCCCTCGCCGCCTCTGATCACAGCACTGCCGCAGGCCGCCCAGCAGCCCCAGGGACAGATCCATCATCCACACCAGCTCTCCAGGTAGGGAGGCTGGGTGGAAAATATGTATTTATAAAATAATTAGTGAATGTATGTGATGTGTGTCTGTGAGTGACAGAGTGTGTGTGTCTGTGAGTGACAGAGTGTGTGTGTGTCTGTGAGTGACAGTGTGTGTGTGTCTGTGAGTGACAGAGTGTGTGTGTCTGTGAGTGACTGTGTGTGTGTGTCTGTGAGTGACAGTGTGTGTGTGTCTGTGAGCGACAGTGTGTGTGTGTCTGTGAGCGACAGAGTGTGTGTGTCTGTGAGTGACAGTGTGTGTGTGTCTGTGAGCGACAGTGTGTGTGAGTGACAGTGTGTGACAATGTGTGTGTCTGTGAGTGACAGTGTGTGTGAGTGACAGTGTGTGTGAGTGACAAAGTGTGTGCGTCTGTGAGTGACAGTGTGTGTGAGTGACAAAGTGTGTACGTCTGTGAGTGACAGTGTGTGTGAGTGACAAAGTGTGTACGTCTGTGAGTGTAAGTGACAAAGTGTGTGTAAGTGACAAAGTGTGTGTGTCTGTGAGTGACAGTGTGTGTGAGTGACAGTGTGTGTGTTTGAGTGATAGTGTGTGTGTCTGTGAGTGATTGTATGAGTGTGTGTGCATGTGAGTGTATGAGTGTGTCTGTCAAATCAGTGAGAGTATGTTTGTCATTGAGTCTGTGTTTGACTATCAGTGTGTCTGTCAATGAGTGTCAATCAGTGTGGGTCTGTCAGTGTCAATGAATGAGTGTGTGTCAGCTCAATGAGTCTGTGTCTGTCAGTGACGTCTGTGTGTTTGTCATTGAGTGTGTGACTGTCAGTGTGTACAGAGTGTAGCGGAGCAGAGCGCGGTACAGGGACTTCTGTTTCCTGTACCTGGCCAGACTGACAGGAGGTGCTCACAGAGAGAGCACTCCCTGTCAGTCCGGCCGGGTACAGAAAACTGAAGCTCCTTTAGGGGATCTGCTCCACTCGGCAATGCAACAATAGAGGTAGGAGGCACACCAGGAAGCGGAGTGTGACCATTAAAGGGGTGTGGGGTGCACCAAGGGACAGGGAGGGAATGGGAGAGAAACAACAAGAGACAGGGAAAAGAGGGGGGAGGGGAGAAGAACACTAAGGGACAGGGAAGGGAAGGAACTACTAATGGTCAGGGAGGGGAGAGGGGCTGGTTAAGAGGCACATAGGTGAAGATGTTTTTTTTTTGGGGGGGGGGCTGGAAAAATGCATCTTCGCCTATGTACCTAAAAATCCAAGCACCAGCCCTGATTGTATGCATAACTGTGGGTGTAGATGAGTGCAGCTGACAGTGGTTCTATGTGTGATTGAGTGAGTCAGTGAGAGTGAGTATGTGTTGGTGTGCATCTTTTTCTTAAGTAGACCATTTGCAATATATAGTTTTTTTTCTTACCTTTTAAACAACAAATTAGTTTTACTTAAAGTAACACTATTGTCACTGTGACCATTGAGATGAAGTGGTCTGAGTGCAGTGGGCCTGTGTTTTTGAGAAACTGCAATGTTTACATTGCATGGTTAATTCCACCTCTAGTGGCTGTCAGTACAAGATCCACCAGAGGTGCTTCTGCTGCACTGACTGAGTAAAACTCGGTCACGTAATGCAGAAGTCTCCCAGGAAAGCATTGATTCAATGTTTTCCTATGGGAACATTTTACTGTGTGCACAACACTTGCTTGTCCTCTATGAGAAGCATTGGATTGGACACTGGCACAGTAGGCAATATCTCCTCCATGACATTGTGGGAGGCGCTGAAAAAAGGTGAATCAATCTTTATTATTTTTTTATTTTAATTGCAAATTGAAGAGACACCTATATAGAGCTATATTTATATTGCACGTATGTAAAATTAGTATTTTCATACAGCTTTTTAATCTTTTTTGTGGGGGGTTAATAAGGAGGTTTTAAATGGTGAGAAGTATTAACCCCTTAAGGACACATGACATATGTGACATCATGATTCCCTTTTATTCCAGAAGTTTGGTCCTTAAAACTGTCATGCCGAACTTACCTTTCCTCAATCTCTTCCTCTTCTCCCCCTCTCTCAGGATCTGTTCTTCTTTAGTTTTCTTTAAAATCATAAGACAAAGTAGGGACTCTTTGCCTTATAGAGGTTTCCTCTGCTTGACTAGCTTTGACCAGCGGAGGAGCAAAGTGTACTTCATTTCCGGTGGTCAGAGCAATTTTCCCATGATTCTTACCTTTCCTCTGTGATCTCATGATGCTTCCTGTCATTTTAGACGAAACTGACGAATTGCGTTCTAACTGAATGAGAACAGTATGTTCGTTTCTTTTAGAACTCAATTCGGCACGTTGTTCGTATCAGAATTTAATTTGAATGAATGAAACTCCAATTACATTTGTGCCGCAGCTGCATCTTGCAGCCGCTTAGTAGATAACTCCCTAAATCCCACGGTATTAGGGAGCTATCTACCAAAAGGCCTAAATTGGTCTTTCAACCACATTTACTAATACTAAGTAAAGATTACTTAGTATTAGTAAATGATCTGCCCCTACTCGCTGTACCGCGACTAGGGGCATGTCAAGTAAACAGTGAGCAGCCTGTGTCCTCCCCACCCCTGGCCCCCACCCTTGAGCGGTGGGTGGGGGCCATAAAGATAATGAGGGGTGGGACCTACAGTCCTCCCCCCCCCGGCCCCCACCCCTGGGCGGTGGGTGGGGGGCCATAAAGATAATGAGGGGGGACCTACTGTGGCTGCTCAATGTAAAAAAAAACAAAAAAAAACCTATTGGCCCCACCCCTGAGCGGTGGGTGGAGGCCATAATGGACAATCGGGGGGGGGCGACCTACTGTCCTCCCCCCGGCCCCTGCCCCTGAGTGGTGGGTGGGGGCCATAAAGATAATGAGGGGTGGGACCTACAGTCCTCCCCCCCCCGGCCCCCACCCCTGGGCGGTGGGTGGGGGGCCATAAAGATAATGAGGGGGGACCTACTGTGGCTGCTCAATGTAAAAAAAAACAAAAAAAAACCTATTGGCCCCACCCCTGAGCGGTGGGTGGAGGCCATAATGGACAATCGGGGGGGGGCGACCTACTGTCCTCCCCCCGGCCCCTGCCCCTGAGCAGTGGGTGGGGGCCATAAATTACAATGGGGACCTACTGTCCTCCCCCCTGGCCCCCACCCCTGCGCGGTGGGTGGGGGCCATAAATTACAATGGGGGGACCTACTGTCCTCCCCCCCCCGGACCCCCACCCTTGAGCAGTGGGTGGGGGCCATAAAGATAATAAGGGGGGGCCATAAAGATAATAAGGGGGGGCCCTAAGACAAATCCCACCTATCAAAGATGACTAGGGGTCCCCAAGCCCCTAGTCACCCAGCCCCCCACCCAAAAAAAGTTACCCCCTGCCTACCTCCCTCACCCTAAAAAAATAGTGAGGGGGAAATAAAATAACTAACCTGTAAAGAAAAATTAAACTTACCATTTGACGTCTTCTTTTTTCTAAAATCGTAATTTTTCAGCCCCAAAAAAGGCCAAATAAAAAACCATCATACCCGTCGAACTTAAAATAAAATAAAAAACCTGAGCACAAAAAAAAAAAAACAGACAAAAAAAAAAACCAGAGCGCAAAAAAATAATCCATCTTCACCCAGGGAGGGCTCCATGCAGACTGAGCTCTGCAGGGCGGGGCAAGGCTTTATAATTAGGCTAAGCCAATCAGAGTGCTTGAAATCCATCCAATCAGAGTGCTTTGTGTCATTTTACACAGCGTGGGAAAGTTTTTTGGAATTTTCCCACGCTGTGTAAAATGACAAAGAGCACTCTGATTGGTTAGATTCCAAGCCCACCAATCAAAGTGTTATGAGTCAAATTACAAAGCGTGGAAAAATTCCAAAGAACTTTCCCACGCTGTGTAAAATGACACAAAGCATTCTGATTGGCTTAAAGGACCGCTATAGGCACCCAGACCACTTCAGCTTAATGAAGTGGTCTGGGTGCCAGGTCCAGCTAGGGTTAACCCTTTTTTTTTATAAACATAGCAGTTTCAGAGAAACTGCTATGTTTATGTTAGGGTTAATCCAGCCTCTAGTGGCTGTCTCTTGACAGCCGCTAGAGGCGCTTGCGTGCTTCTCACTGTGAAAATCACAGTGAGAAGACGCCAGTGTCCATAGGAAATCATTGTGAATGCTTTCCTACGGACTGGCTGAATGCGCGCGCAGCTCCTGCCGCGCATGCGCATTCAGCCGAAGAGGAGGAGAAGAGGGAGGAGAGCTTACTGCCCGGCGCTGGAGAAAGAGGTAAGTTTAACCCCTTCCTCTCCTCAGAGCCCAGCGGGAGGGGGACCCTGAGACAGTGGTGTACACATGACCCATGGGGCCCCGGTGCGAAAATTGATCCGTGGTCCCCCCCCGCGCGCGGGCCACAACACATGGCGGTGGGCACCTGGTCGCAGGGGTTACAGGGCTGCGACCCCTGCGACCGCGGTATGTACACCAGTGCATGCAGATGCACACACACTTAAAGGACCACTACAGACACCCAGATCACATCAGCTCAATGAAGTTGTCTGGGTGTCAGGTCCCTCTAGTTTTAACCCTGCAGCTGAAAACATAGCGGTTTCAGAGAAACTGCTATGTTTCACTGAGGGTTAATCCAGCCTCTAGTGGCTGTCTCACTGACAGCCGCTAGAGGAGCACACTGAATGTCCATAGGAAAGCATTGAGTAATGCTTTCCTCTGGGCGGTTTGAATGCGTGCGCGGTCGCATTCGGAGCTGAGAGGCTGAGGGATCCCCAGCGCCAAGGGAGTCCGGCGCTGGAGAAAGGTAAGTGCTGAAGACACACACTCACTTACAGACGCATACACACTAGCTAACAGACACACACATTTACTGACAGAGACACACTCAGCGACAGATACATTCACACTCACTTACAAAACATACACTCTCATTGACAAACACAAACTCACTAACAGACATCAAACAGACTCACTAACACACACACACACACTCAGTAAGACACACACAGTAACACACTCACTGACACTCACTAGCAGACACACACACTAACACTCACTCTAACACTCACACTCACTCTAACACTCACACTAACACTCACTAGCAGACACACACACTAACATTCACTCTAACACTCACTAACACTCACACTAACACTCACTCTAACAGTCACTCTAACACTCACACACACTCTAACACTCACACACTCTAACACTCACACTAACACGTTTAAAAAAAAAAAAATGTATCCCCCCAGCCTCCTTACCTTTTGGAGTGCTGGGGGGATTCCCTGGGGTCCAGTTGTGCTGCTGGGCTGGCTGGCGGGCTGTCTAGCCGGCGCGCGAGGGAGCACTCTGCTCTGAGTGCTTCCTCGCACGCCCGCCTGCCCGACCGGCCACCCGCCTTCCGGGTGTCAGCAGGGCCAGCCTCGGGGGGCCCTGGGGTGGTCGGCTCCTGGGCCCCCAGGGGAAGAGGCTGGCCCAGTGGGTACACACCGGTACCCTGGTATGTACGCCACTGCCCTGAGGGTGGGGGCACCCTCAGGGCACTATAGTGCCAGGAAAACAAGTGTTTTCCTGGCACTATAGTGGTCCTTTAAACCAACCAATCAGAGTGTTCTTAGCCTAATTGCAGGGCGGGGCAAGGCTTTATAAGCCTTCCCCCGCTGTGCAGAGCTCAGTTTTTTGCGCTCGGGTTTTTTCTTTTTCGTCTGTTTTTTTTTTTTGGCGCTCGGGTTTTTTTATTTTATTTTAAGTTCGACGGGTATGATGGTTTTTTTATTTGGCCTTTTTTGGGGCTGAAAAATTAAGATTTTAGAAAAAAGAAGACGTCAAATGGTAAGTTTCATTTTTCTTTACAGGTTAGTTATTTTATTCCCCCCCTCACTATTTTTTAGGGTAAGGGGGGTAGGTAGGGGGTAACTTTTTTTTGGGATGGGGGGGTGGGTGATTAGGGGCTTGGGGTCCTTTAGTCACCTTTGATGGGGGGGGATTTGTCTTAGGGTCCCCACCCGCTGCCCCCATCATTATCTTTATGGCCCCCACCCACCGCTCAAGGGTGGGGGCAGGGGGGAGCACAGTAGTTCCCCCCCATTGTGATTAATGGCCCCCACCCACAGCGCAGGGGTGGGGTCTGCGGGTGGAGGACAGTAGCTCCCCTGCATTGTAATTTATGGCCCCACCCACCACGCAGGGGTGGGGGCCAGTGGGGGGAGGACAGTATGACCCCCCCTCATTATCTTTATGGCCTCCACCCACCGCCCAAGAGTGGGGGCTAGGGGGGAGGACTGTAGGTCCCACCCCTCATTATCTTTATGGCCCCCACCCACCGCTCAAGGGTTGGGGCCAGGGGGGGAGGACAGTAGGTCCCCCCATTGTAATTTATGGCCCCCACCCACTGCGCAGGGGTGGGGGCAGGGGGAGTAGGTCCTCCCCCTCATTATCATTATGGCCCCCACCCACCCCTGCACGGTGGGTGGGGGCCAGGGGGAAGGACAGTAGGTCCCCCCATTGTAATTTATGGCCCCCACCCACTGCACAGGGGTGGGGCCAGGGGAGGACAGTAGGTCCTCCCCCCTCATTATCTTTATGGCCCCCACCCACCGTGCAGGGGTGGGGGCCGGGGGGAGGTCAATAGGTCCCCCCGCTTATTGTTATTTAGGGCCCCCACCCGCCGCACAGGGGTGGGGGCAGGATAGTAGTTTTTTTACAGTGAGCAGCCACAGTCTGCTCACTGTTTAGTAGACATGCCCCTACTCACGGTATAGTGAGTAGGGGCATTCAGGAGATTTTAATCTCCCTTATGCTATTATGGGGGTCATATTGACCCCCATAAAGTGAGCAGGGACCTGGGTGGCTTAGGAAGTGGCGGGGAGCACTGCTACCTGCTGCTTCCATCTTTAAATATTACAAGGAGGGAGCTGCACGCCGGTAGCTCCCTCCTTGTAATAAACTGAACGAACAAACGAACACTGATACTCAGTGTTTGTTTGTTCGTCTGACATTTCTATTCATTCATTCATCTTTCTGACGAATGAATAGATGAAATTCCCGTTCGCATGTCCAAGGGTTTAACTGAGCATGTGCGGGAATCTCACAGTCTGTCTAGTGTGGGCCGATGACGTGTCCCACAGGGACTTCCTCTACCCACACAAAGATAGCGGCGCCCTGAATATAGCTTTGGGCAGAAAATAAAGAATAAAATAGGTAATATGGGGGGCTTAGGGGGTCAGTTAGATGTAGTGGAGTTGGAGAGGGGGGGGGGGTTAAAAAAAAACGTGATTCGGCCATGACAGTGCCGCTTTAAGGGGTTAATGGGAGTGTGTGGTCCGGGAGGGCTTGTGACCAGAGTAGGGTGCAGTGAAGATTTTTTGCACAGGGCACCTACAGGCCTAAAGCCAGCCCTGACTACAGAACACGTTTAGAACACAGTATCCAGTAATAATCAATAAGTGCAAAATACAAGTAAAGTGGTATATATATTTTTTATTATACATTTATTTTTATTCCTTCATGTTTATAAATATTTTAACAAAGCAGACAAAAAAGTACACAGGGTAGTTAATACTGAAATACAAAAGTCTGTAGGATGCAGTTGTGACATAAGTCTGCAGCCTTCACATCGTAGCAAAACATTAGTATCAAACATTTAACAAGTCATTGCATAACAACAACACTCTGCATGCAGTGTTATGTACACTCCATTTAAAAAAAGGCTCCTGTGGAAAGTGGACAAAATCCATAAAGCAAAAATCCCCTCCTTCAAATAGAGCCATTTTCATATTTACCTAAACTGGGGCGACCTGCTAGTTCAGGAACCACTGACCTCCAATGTTCAAGTAGGATTGGGCAGTACTAATGCTGACAAGCAATGCTGGCTTGAGTTACCATCTCCATGCTTGAGCACACATATCAGATTCATGCCAATTATCAGACAATTTAAAAAAAAAAAAAAATTCAAGTCAGTTTTAATTTCAATTTCACTATTTTGGCAGCAATTTTGACATTTTCCAATTTTAGAATTCAATTCCTGGCAATGCACACATTTGTAAATAACTATAGTAGTTAGTGGATTTCACATTTTAGGTCAAGATAATTGAATTGGGAAAAATACCCAAGTCAACAATCTTTTCAGGTTGACAATGATAGCCCAAAATTCACTTTCAGGATTACTGGCTAAACACCAATTTACTGAATTGAAACTGGATGAAGAAAACAAGGCTAAAATAGGCCAGAACAGTTGGACTGAAAGCATAGCTGACAGAATTTCTACCTTTTCTCTATTTTGAACTTATATTTGAAATTCACTTTGAAGTCTCACTTCAGTAAATAATCATGTTCGTGAATAAGCCTGCAAGAATTCATATTCTGCACGAGGGACATTTATGAATGAATAAAATCAGGATCCTGAATAAACCATTTTAATCAATGAATTGGTTTATTTTATGCTACATCAGTATCATACTTATTACATGTTATTAGCTGCCCATCAGCAAGAAGTATCTATGAAAACATGGTGGATCTGGCAGCCCTGCCTAGGACACTATTCTGTAATTTCCTGAATGTCTAGGTAGCGATGGGTGCCTAGCTATAGCTCTTGTTTGATTTAAGCTCGTAATATTCCCATTCAGTGAATGTTTGGATGCAGTGGGTTGCGTTTCCACAGAGTATGTGCACACCTGACTTACAGGACAGAACTTCTTCATGAGCAGATTTGATCCTTCAAATAGTACATAGGAAGCTTCAGAAGGGCTGACCCAGCAGTGCTCCTAAGTAGGGTTGTAAAGTGACAACGGACATCAAAAACCATCCACTAAGGCATTGTTGGTTAATTATTCCTGAACTAGTGTAAATCATGAATCCCAAATCTTAGGTACTCTCCCAAAAAATACAACAACAAACCATAAATAATTCCGAGGAGAATTGTGCTTTATAACTCTCTATGATCACCATAAGGACTGTCAGTGCTTAGCAGAGAATTGCATTTCAAGCCCATATGGATGCCAAGGAGCAATGAGGTTATACTGTGCACATAATCCTGTGCGGCAAAATAATTTAGTCTGGAAAATAATTTACGCATAGCATAATTTTTTTTTCTTTACAAAAGCACTTTGTTTTTTTGTTTTGTTATATTTTTGTTGTTAATGTAATCCTACATGTCTGGCATTACTGTAAACATCAGAGTTCCATAACAGATAGAAATATAAGTAATGTAAGATTTTTTAAATATTTTTTTTTCCCTTAATTAAGCACACGAGCTTCGCATTCAAATAAGTCATGCATATTCTGGGTACATAACACAAATATTACAAAATATTTAAGACATGACAAACGTTTTTAAATATATTCAATACAAGGTTAATTTTTTGTCACTGTTCTGAAAAATAAAACTAGATTTCAAGAGTATTTCTGGTAAAAAATAAATTAGAATGTATCCATTCATACCTCTAATGCTTCAGACTGCCGAAGCTCCCAGAATCTTAAAAAATAATCGCAACAAAGAAAAGGTATTTACCACTTAATTCTTAAACCAGGGGTGGTTAATCTGCACATTTTAGAAGCCTCTTGAGGATTTACATATTTGAAACCCAGTGCCAGTTTGATTAAATAAAGTAGCCTACCCCTGGGTTAGGTTGTGAATTATCAAAAACTTATAGAGAGTTACCCTTGGTTAGCAAGGTAAAACTGCAGCAATATGTGTTCTAAATTGTTAGGAATCACCAGAAAGCATTAAGGTAAAATGTTTCATTTTATACATATAGAACATTCATTTTGCTCAAACATTGCTCACATTTTGCCTTGCTAAAATTTGGCCCAATGTATGATATTATGCGAGAGAAAAAAGGATCCTGAATATCTGACACTACAGTGCCTCAGTTCAGAAAACATGCAGCATTTTGCAGTAATTTTACAAATAGCAAGGTTCCTTTCATTAGTAGTCTCTACAACCCCCGTGCAATGACTTTAAAGAAGATAGTTTGTTGGGGTATGTTTAGTGAGATCTAAAAAGTGATTTGGTAGCTCTGATGATATGCATGTTGGTAGGTCTTCTAGTTACTTAAAAAGTGTCATTGCTAAGTATGTCCATCTATGTAACAGTTAAAGAATATTTCACTGAATCACAACCTGTTCTTTGCATTGAAGAAAATTTATTTCAATCCCTACTGTATAATTTGATTGAGTGAAATATTTTTTCGTAACTGTTCAATGCCAGGTTTCAAACAAAACAGAACATAGCTGAACTGAACATTGCTGGCAAACCTTTCAGAATTTTAACATATGATACCGCACTCAAAAATGGTTCAAAATAATTTTGTATTTATTGCACAACTTGTTGATATTCTAATAGTCTGTTACTTCACAGTCTATTTCAATATAAGCATAAATGTATAAACATAAATTAGATCCAGACATGTGTCCATGAGTGGCTACAACAATTGCTGTATTGCTGGTGATATATAGGAGACAGTGGAATATGCTTCCTATGGTATTCAACACCTCATTGGAAATGAAATACTATAATAGAGATGAATACTGCATCTCTGGTACCAAAAATGAAAAGCACAAAAAAAGGACAAGAAAATGAAGAGAAAATGAAAAAATGAAAGAAAGTGAAAAAAATAAAATAAAAAAATGTTTTTTTTTCAGTCCAAGTGTGTACACACTACAAATCAAAATATGCTTAATCCATAGATAGGTCCTAATGGACAGATCTCACCCCATGTAGTCAAGAAAGTCCTTTCTCTGGCGTGGTCCAATCTCTGTAAGGTTGTATGGTAGTTGACCAGGTGAATGTGCAAGATTTCAGCAGGTGAGGCTGTATACAAGGGTCTCTGAAATCTGTATGTCTGGAAGCCACGAATAAAGATTTCTGGGCTGCCCAACCTCTGGGTCCTATGAAGGGATGTTTAAGGTCCCGAGCGCGCAGCCCAGAGATCCCTATTTATGGCTTACAGACACACAGCTTCCAGAGGGGCCTTGGGGCCTTCGAAGGGACGGATAAGGTCCTAAGCACGCAGCCCAGAGATCCTTATTCACGGTTTCCAGACACGCCGCTTCCAGAGACCCTTGTATACAGCCTCAACCTGCTGAAATATTGCACATTCTGGTCAACTACCATACAACCTTACAGAGAATGGACCACACCAGAGAGAGGATTTTCTTGACTACATGCGGTGAGATCTGTCTATTAGGACCTATCTAGGGATTAAGCATATTTTGATGTTTAGTGTGCACACACTTGGACTGAAAATTTTTTCTTTTTTTAAAATATATTTTTTTCACTTTTTTCCTTTTCTTTTTTCTCTTTTTCATTTTTTGTCCTTTTTTATTTGTGCATTTTGTTTTTTGTACCAGAGATGCAGTATTCACCTCTATTATAGTATTTCATTTCCAATTGGGGTGTTTAATACCATAGGAAGCATATTTACTAGGGATATTTTATTCCACTGTCACCTATATATTACCAGCAGTACAACAATTGTTGTAGTCATTCATGTACATTATTTTGATGTCTGGATCTAATTTATGTTTATACATTTATGCTTATATTGAAATAGACTGTGAAGTAACAGACCATTAGAATATCAACAAGTTGTGCAATAAATACAAAATTCTTTTGAATCATTTTTGAGTGTGGTATCATACGTTAATATTATATATAGTTAAGGTATTTTTTGTGTGGGCTACCTTAATACCAGCACCATAACAGATATAAGAGTGCCTATACATTTTTTATATTTTCTTTCAGAATTTTATTTTAGTAGTTTAAAGATTTTGTGATATATGACAAGGCAGATTTGCGCACAGCTAAATTAACATTCCCTTGTTTTTTTTTATTTTTTATTGTTTAATGGGTTGTTTTATGATGCTTACAACAAGAGAAATTCATTTCGTAAGCTAAGACGATTAGCTTTTGGACACCTACTTCTCATTTAAATATAACAGTCAATGCATAAAACGTTTGGATGTGTTCCATAGGCATAATTTAACCTGGGCTTTCATCACAATTTCTAAGCTCCGATCTCTCAGTGCAGGTGTCTGTAAAAAGTACAAATAGCGACAGAATCTATGCTCCTAAACTGTGATGAAAGAGAAATGTTGTACTAATACTTTAAATGTTTTGTAAAATTCCCTTGCTTTGTCTCTTTTCTTCTAGTGGCCCCTTATTTGTAGTATAAAAATGCAGCTTTAATTGTGTTATGTATAAAAGTTCATGATATAAAGTTTATGTTAAGCATATGAAAGGATAGGATCTCCGTTACATGAAATCAGCTAAATAACACATAAAATCACCTGCCTTGATGTTGAAGTATTTTTATGATCCAGCCCTTTAATTACCAGTACACACTTTACTGAGAATAATTAAAAAAAAAAAGTAAAAAATAAAATAAAAAGACTATTTTCTAAGACTGGCGGGACATATGGGAAGCATGTTCCAAAGTATCTATCTGCACTACACTACAGGAACAAACTTATAAGACCCTATTCCGTTGGTACACCACCCCGGTCAAACAATGCCACATGGGACTAAGCCCCACAGATACTTGTTGGCGACTATGTGGGGAAAAAGGCTCATACATCCACATGTGGTGGCAATGTCCCAAGGAAAAAGCATACTGGACATAGTTGACAGACATGAACTCCATATTATATATTATATATTATAAAAAAGGCTAACGGCGGAACCAGACCAACAGACGGACTAGACAAATATAATCAGAGACTTTTAAACATGTTAAATCTTGCAGCAAGAAGAGCTTTAGCGCAACACTGGATAAAATCCAACACCCCACCCATCACACTGGTGCAAGAAAAAATTAGAGACAATTGCCTAATGGACAAATTGACAGCTCAGGTCCAAAACACCACAACCACTTATCATAAAGTCTGGGCATTATGGGAGCAATTTGACACATAATACCCGCACCAGTCCCTCCTCCCCCCAAAAAAAGGGGACGTACGCCACAGAAATGACCGGTCAGTCTCAGCCTGCTAAGGAAAAACTGACTACAGAGACCTGACCCGACCTGGGACACATAGAAATATACCGACGACAGATAATGTGAAACTGAATGCAACCTACATGTGCTAACAAACATAATGAGACAAATCTCACTTGTATCTAAGCTAGAAAGTTATCTTATTTCATTGTATATATGTTATACATGTTCATGAAAACTAAAACAGGCAGTTACCGTATAACGATGGGGCTTCTGCGTAAGCCAACACACAAGCCAATACCGCAATGTAACTGCAGATGTGAAAATAAAGAATGAATAAAAAAAAGTCTATTTTCTATTGTATAATTGTTTCATGTGGATGGGTAGTAAATGAAAAGTATTGTCCTGCAGTATGGCAATCTGTTAACTGAAAGTGTCTATTATTTATTCAGAATAAATTCTGATACTAATATAAAATAACATAGAAACACTAAAACAAGCATAAACTGAAGATGAGACATTAAGAGAAATTGGGAACATGTGGGACTTTTTGGTTTGGTTCCACAAATTCTAGTTTAAGAGCTAGTATACAGGCTACCAACTCCACCATGTTTTTCTGGACAATTTTATCATCTACAGAAATGCTCTGCAGAATGAAGAACTTATAAGCTACAGGAGTAAAATCGGTATCTTGAGTTATGAATTAATTTCACTTTAACAGCATATGAGTTCTACATGCAGAATAAATATCAGAATGTACAGAAAAAAATGGCAGATCTGGCATTCACCATTGGGTAATCATCTCGGTTCACAATTTCCAAACGCCATATAGCCTAATCACAAAGCAAACTACTCACACAATTGACAAGCATGATTCATGATTTGGAGTTTTACCAGTGGTTCCCAAAAATTTGATTAATGGGAAATAAGATAATTGATTGGCTAGGCAACAGCTACTAAATGTTGATATTATTCACAGATCAAGTAGAAGTGAAAAAAGGAGGAGCAGTAAAAGAGATCTATATTTTTATATTGTGTAAAATAGAAATATAGACTTTTTAAAAAAAATTCTTAGACTTTTATATATTTATAAAAAAAAAAAAAAATCAAATTGGCCCACCTACAGACATACAACTGAAATCCTACCGACAATAAAGGTACCCAGTAAAAATACTTGATCACTTTTGCCATTCACTTTCAGATCATCTTGGGAATACACCTCTGTTAATTACACTGTAACCCACTCACAACATAAGTTATCAGGACACTTTTTGTAAGACTTGGCTGCTGCCCTTCATCCCTTTCAGAACATTAATTTCGGATTGGAACAGCCTCGGCAGGATCTAGTAAAAACCTTCCAATACATAAAATTGAAAGACTAGAACAATGAAAATCTGCTGTGTATAATGGATATATCCCTCAACCCAAGATGGAATTAAGACAAGAATTTAAGGATTTAGTTATGTAATTGTTATACGTAGTAAAGTGTTGCATTTTTAAAAAACATTTTGCATTCTTTATTTACAGCCGTACCCGAACGTCGGTTTCGGTACACTAGAACAGATGTTGCACTCTTTTGTCAGCCTTTGTCCCTGACCACAAATTTTAAGGCGGAGCATGGATTTGGGAGGGGTTACCGGGCATATTTAAGCTCAGGCCGTCCTCTCCTATGGACTTTAACAGTTTTGTTAATATACCCTGCTTTGTTCCTTTTCTTCTAGTGGTCCCATATTTGCAGTATAAAATGTAACTTTATTCAATTCCTCTTGGTAGGCCCTTTTTATTTACAGACCTACCCAAATGTATGTTTTGGCACACCACAATTGACTTTGCCCTTTTTCTCTGCCACAAATATATATATATATATATATATATATATCAATTTTCTCTCTGTTGGTTACTTTTTCTCTCTTAATCTGTGAACCAGATGACAGAAAAATCCATGTACTACATAATACATGTATATAATGTTAATATGTTGGATTACTTGTGGGGAAAAGTTATAATCACTCAGCAGCATTACTTTAATGCTAAATATTATTTGCACCATTTTGGTTTGTCTGATTTGATTCCCCGAATCTTTGCTGGTTTACAAAATTCTGTCAAGCCAAACTGAGACATGCATGAAATTCTGCCTTCCAGAAAAAAAAAAATTTCAGACTAAGGCCTCGATTTAATATGGTTTAACCAATCCAAATGTTTTAATACTTTTGGATAAACTTTTAAAATTATTTGATAGTATGAAAAACATTTAAATTTTGTGATACTTTGTTATTTATATATGTATTAATAGGTTGGTTTTTTTTTTTTTTTGGTTAGCTTGATAAAAAATTATTTTAACAATGTATCTAAAAATATTAAATAGTTTGGATTTCTTATCCAATAATATTTAATCGAGGCCTGAGTAGTTCAGCCAAAACAAAATTTTTTCCTTTGTGTAGCAAGTCTACTTACAAATGTTCTGAATGTTTTTACTCCTTTTCCTTAATTTTTTCTTAACTGCACTTTAATTTCTTACCTGTGGCTGCATGCCACATGTGGGAATAAGGATAAGAGACTCCCAGATCATTCACCTCAAAAGTAACCAGTTTTAAATTTGAGGAAAATGACAAAACATTGAAGTTAACATCTGAGGTCATTTCATGTTTCAGAGTGTATATGTAAGTCCAGGGCTAAACTGAGACAAAAATTTAACCTGGCTTTTAAAGGTCCAACAGAAGGGACCAGGGTCAAAGAGGGGAGTGCCATTAACAAGAGGCATGCACCCACCCCCAAACAGGGCATGTCAGTTTGGTGCCCTCCAGGGCATCTCACATGCAGAACTTAGCTCATATGGGCAAAATGATCTGTGTAGCACAGTACACGTAAATTTAATGATATGTTTGCTCTAGATTTGTTGGAATAAAGTACAAAAACAAGGGCAGCACTATCAGATGCAAAAGTACAATAAAAAGGTTCTGCAAGTGTTTATTGGAGGACCTAAAATGAATAGATGTTTCAGGTTGCCACTTTATCATTGCATAATGTTCTCATTTAATGACTTGCCTGATCTTTGTTTTCTGGTAACTTGTCTCTAGTGTCCCTATAAGTGAAACACAAGAGGCCAAAAGAGGGATAATGCTGGAAATGGGTTTTTGTTTTGGGATGCTGTCTATGTATGCATTTGGATGCTGTATGTGGTGGGAGTGGTTGTTGTGTTCGTGGGTATTCTACTTGTGGGCTTGCATATGTGGGGAGGATGCTACTTGTGTGGTTGTGTAAGGGGAGAGGCTGCATGTCGTGTCGTGTAAATGTGGATGGGGCTGTTTGAGGTGTAATGTGTATGAAGACAGAGACAGTTATGTGGGTGTGGAAAGGGACAGTAGTGTTAATAAAGGCTGTATTGTGCATGGGTGAGAGCTGCGACGTGTGTGGACAGAGGCTGTAATGTGTCTATGTGGCCAAAAAGAAGTTGCAAAACATAACTGTTTTAAGACTTTACTCACACTATGTCATTTCAGTCACTTTGATTGGCTAATTGCACAGTGTAGGAAAGTACTTATAAGGGCTCCCATGCTATAATTCTGCACAGAGCCATCGATGGATCAGGAAGGATTTTTGTTTTTTCAATGCTTTAAAATATTTAAAAGAAAGGTATTTTTTGTGGGGGGCTGTGACATAATTTTTGGATGGGGAGTGGACAATGGCATGTCCACTGCCCCATTATATTTAAATTTTGCCCCCACCTGCCAACCATGGTAATGGGGGGGACAATTATTTAATTAGAGTCTCTAGTTCTTTAAATTGAAGCCCCCAACTAACACCCATGGGGAGGAGGGGAGGCATTAATAGTGACTAAGCCGCTGTCCAAGTTAGCGGACATGTCTCTTTGCATGGAAAGTGGGGGCATGTGGGAGATATAATCTCTCTTGTGACTCCCACAGGCAGTTTCTAACAATTTTCCTGCTGGCTGCTAGTGAGCAAAGCTGCAAATCCCAAAGTAACTCAACTTGGAATGATGGAAGTTGAAAAAGATTAAGATTGAATATGGCAAAAACAAAACTGAAGTTTATTGGCAAGAAACGTGGCCCAAACTTTTTTCTTTTTCCCAACCTCATTTAGTGCCCCTTCTAGTTCCATTTCACTTTGCAAATATCTGCAGGTCTTTATGATGAATCAAAATATATTTTTTTCTTAAACTTTCCTGAAAGGCAAGACATCTTGCCTTTATATATCAGTTTTTGTTAACTTTTGCTTTTGCACTGTTCAGACATATTTCAGACCAGTATTGTCCGAGTTTCCCAGATAACTGACTTTAAAGAATCATGGAGGGTGTACAATGCCTATTGGAAACTACTACCTAATCAATTTTGGCAATTAACATTGTTCTTAAAAGTGGTGCAAATGTGTTAAAGGGGTGAAAGATTTGTTGATTTATTATCTTTTTAGATAAGAGTTTTAAATGAGCATTTAAAGATTGTAAGGGAACAAGGCAAGGTTTGCACAGTATTACATTTTAAAAATTTGAAGCAGCTTGTGAAATAAATTATTAATCATGTTTAGTTGGCCATACTATCCTCAGTTAATTGTGTTTTGTCTATATGTCTTTATTTGAGTGAAAACAATGGCAAAATTGATTTTAATGATATTTTAAAATCTCATTGTGTATAATTTCCAAATATACCCAACTTGAATGTTAAATGTAGATGCCCTAATAACAGCATATGACCACTGTATATGCTAAAAGGCATTTCTTAGGTACCAGCTGACACCATGACCACAATTATCTTAATATTTAGTCAGCAAAGATCAATGCTTACCTATTTGTTACAAGCAGACTACCCAAAAAAAATCATTCTATTGATCAAATACTTTTGGCACATGCTAACTGCGTTAGTATCAATAATGTTTATCCAAAATGAGCAAGGTGACTCCATAAAAGCTCCCTCTCTTTCCAATTATGTTTCAGGTTTTTTTAAACAATTTTTTCTATAACTAAAATGGACATGGAGTACTGACGTGTGCTCACTGGCATTCATATAGGTTTGCCAAAATAGCATTACCTCCATACAAAGATATAACAAAGAGAAGACTGGTCACAAGTGACAAATATACACATTATATAGAATACTTTCAATAGTGTTGCCAAGGTACTAATGCCAATGGTGAGCACATCAAAACTTTCACTTCTCTATGTAGCTATGCTATGTCCTGAGCCATGGACATTCTATAATTTGGACCCTGGCTGGTTAATGAGGTACTTTGTGCTAAAGCATTTGATGCATATGTGTTGCCATATGTACAAAGGGTGTATGTGTTTCACAAGTTTGTGTAACTTTTCTGTGTGAAGTATGTGTGAGTGAGTTTAAAGGATCACTCTCGGGTCAGTAACACAAACATGTATTCCTGTGCCATCTAGTATGTATCAAGGCATGGGAGGACCTAAAAGAGTCATATACTTAATTCCAGATGCAATTTAATCTCAAATATATGTTTTATCTACTTCTCACCATAGTCTTCCCCTTAGAAATACTGGGAAAAGGCGGTAAATAAGCTGTAATTGGCATCAGCAGATTGTCCAGGGTTTCATCATCATACCATTTGTTAAGGTCTAACCATAATGGCAAACCCACAGCTTCAGGGGCAGATCAGGAGAGATGCCAGGTGTGATCTTACTCACTAGTGTGGAGCAGTGCCAAATAAAGGCAGTCTATGGAAATCATGGACATTCCACTATAAACAGCTGGTGACTGCAAATCCATACCACAGCCAAGCTATGAAATATATTTCTATATGTTAATGACATTAGTACATTTACAAAAATATATCTCTGAGTATGTTCCAAGGTATATAAAATAAGCTATTTTCAGAATGCAGGTAACTGATAACTTTTTTCTCTACCCATGGCTGGTTATATGAATGATAGCTGCTGAAATGATTGAACATTTACAGCTAAGGGAGCATTTATCAGAGTCAACGGGCCTACAGCGCATAAATATTAATTCAAGCAGTGATAAGGTAGAGGATGTATTCCCAAGGAAATACTAGGTTTATATGGGTAAATACAGAATAATTTACTCCCTGATTTTGCACCCCTCCCTTTCACAAGTGCCCTATTTAGCCTTGACCTGCAGAGAGTCCCAGGAGTAAGCATTTCCCAAGTCAGTGGATTCATCTCATAAGAGCAGGCATTAGGTTACTAGAGAAGGACCTGCCAAAAATGCGGTACATTTATGTAATAGCAGCCTTAAGTAATGTATGATCATATACTGTAACTAAACCACAATTATTTTTGCTACAGTTAGGTGTTTTAAAAAAAATTTGTAGTCAGGGACAATAAGCCAAATTATAGTCGTGGTGGTACAAAATGGGTTGTGGTGTGCCAAAACCGACGTTCGGGTAGGCCTGTAAAAGAGGGCCCACTAAGTGAATGCTTAATAAAGGGAGCGGTGGGTGGGCTGAACCAGGAAGTCTCGACCCAGAGGAAGGGGAGGCCTGTGAATTTATAGGCCGGACAAACCCCTCCCACAACTACAGGTTCCGCCTTTCCATTTGTAGTCGTGGACAATAAGCCGAGTTATAGTAGTGGTGGTACAATTCGGTTGTGGTGTGCCAAAACCGACGTTCAGGTAGGCCTGTAAAAGAGGGCGAAAAGTTTAACAGTTTAATCCTTAGTACGTGTTGACATTACATAACCAGTACTTTAAATGCCTGCCTCAGTTCCCTCTCAGTTTGAGGGATATCTGTGGTGTATGCATATAAAATGACTCATAGAATTGTGAATATGGCAAATACACTAACATATGTGTAATAATTAAGGTATAAACAGGTTCCATATTCATAATAAATTGTGCATTTTCTTGCTCCCACGACCATTTAGGTTCAGCATCTATTAAAGGAACACTCTAGTACCCAAACAGACAAAAACCAAAGGAAAGAAGAAAATGATTGTTTAGTAGATATACCCCCAATGAATGCATGCATGAATTGATCATGGATGTATTTATTTGGCATATATCTTAGATCTGCAGCCTTTGCAAGTCCTTTTAATGAACTGCAGCCTTAGTACCCTATCCTTTTTCCCTGGAAATAACAAGCCTCTGAATTGGAATTCACGTGCATGCCGGTTCGTGTGTGCGCGCACATTTTGTCTGAGGTCTGGAGAAGCTGGTCTAATGTCTGTGTGGGAGGAAGCAGGCACGCTCAAGTAGAATGTGCCCATTCTGTTAGCCATTGGGAGCTAATGGAAAGAGGCTGCACACCTCCCTGGCTGTTTGAATGACAGCCAGGGGGCATTCCCTAGTTCATTTACAAAAGTGCACAGTTTTCATAGAAAAATCTGCACTTTTATAAAATCGAGGTTAAACTAGGATACTCCTCACCCATAAAGCACTTCAGCAAGCTGAAGTGCTTTTGGGGCGTGGGGTCCTTTAAGTGTATTGTATTATCCTGCCTGGTGTATGTTCAAACACCAGAGTCTCTTATTTTAAACCATATTCTACTATTGTACATTGTCACTATAGTCAATGTACACATTTTCTTTTCGAGCTGTAGGTTTCTACAGATGTTTATGGAAAATGAGTACTTCATGGACACATTTACAGCAGGAAATAAATTCTAGTCCTGAACTTTATTTGCGACTTAAAGTAGCTGTCACTATGCTTGTATGCATTTCACTTTTCACTGTCTCTGTTGTGTTTGCTACACTGCTTGAAAAGCCTCTGTTTTAAAAAGTAAATAATGGTTAAAAAAGAATGATAGGAAGATTGTGACAAATATTTTATTAAGATTTAAAAAAAAAATGAATTCCAGTTTCTCTTCTCTAACAGAAGGGAACCATCACTCAAGTACCATGGCAATAGATGGGAGTTCTTTGTGATAACAGAAATAATAATTTTTACCTACAAGCCTTATTACTAAACGGTGTTGTCTACTGAAAACATAAATAGTTTGCAAAATTAAAGCAAACTAGTTGAGCTGGAAATGCAATAGAGATGGAAAATGTTATCAAATAAGCTCCTACTTAAGTGGAAACATACGCAGTAATTCATTAAAGTGAGAATTTCAAATTTAGATAAGCATAGCCGAACTGGAAAAAACTCTACAATTCAGCTATGCTTTTTTTGTTGTTTGCTTGCTCTTGGGGGTATATAATAAAAAAGCTTACAAAGACTACAGATCTCATGAACAGCAGCCTTAGCAAGCCCTCCCCTCTTTTCCCCAGAAGAGACTTTCAGGGAAATAACCAATCAGAGGTTTCTCATAGAAAAGCTTCTGAAATGTCACCCATGTGCGTGCGCACGCACATCTGGTCTGAGATTAGAGGAGCTGCTCTGAGACCTGTGTGGGAGGAGTTGGAGGTAGGCATGCTCAGGAGAGCTAACGGAAGAAGGCTGCAAACCTCCCTGACTGTTTGATTGACGGCCAGGGGAGTGTTTCCTAGTTAATTTCTCATAAATTACTTTTAGAAACTGCGGTTAAATTAAGATATTCCTCACCCATAAGGCAAGCTGAAGTGCTTTTGGGTGTGGAGAGGTCCTTTAAGATTATGCTGGCAGTGCTCTGGTATGTTTTACTATTTGCACATTATTAACTTGGGAGAATATTTGCACATTTTTAACTTGGGAGTAGGGAGATCTGATCAATGAAAGCTGCTGAGGGAATAAACAGATTTTCTATTAAATTTGCCTTCACACAATCCAATTTAAGTGAGGGGCCAACTTCTTTTTTTTTGTCTTTTGCAATGTGCAGTTTGGTATTTTTGTATACTGACCAATAAAGTTTTGTATTCAACTTACTAGAAATTGTCTACTTCAGCATAAACAACAAGCATCAGAGTGTGCTGATCCATGGTCATACCTTGTCCCCACCCTCCTCCCCCAAGTAGAGAGTATTAATTAATACCTAAGGATACTAACTGAGAAATAACCTCTTGTTAGGTGCACAGTGCCTTACTAATGCTTTAAGTCAGTGCACCCTCAAGCAGAAATACAGCTTGCTCTCCCATACAGCATGTGCAACATTTACTTCTTCAAGACTTTACTTCCCATAATAGACATGATATAAAAGAAAGGGATTTTCCTAAAATCTTTTTAAGAGGCAATTATATATCCTTAGCACGTACAGTGATTTTTAAATATATTTTTTACGTATTCTAACGTACTGCTTCATGTAAAGGACATAGTGGACTGTTCATTTTCTTAAATGATGAAATAAAACACTAAAGTATAATTTGAACTTTTTTGACAACTATGTAAACTTTTTCTCAAGATCCCTGCTCTCAGTATGCAAATCCTTTTTTTTATCTTGTGTCTGTTCTCTTTGTCAGATCACCCAAAGGAGGTAGTGCCATGAAAGTAGAAGGAGTTTGCTATGTCTTGCAGAACAGAGGTAAAATTAGGCAAAACTCCTTCCAAATTCCATATAGGTGCTTGGTAAAACAAACCTAAAAAAGCAATTAATTTAAAATAGCAGTAACAAAATAACGTATTTAACCCTTAAATGTGACATTGAATGTATCTCATTAAGTATTAGCAGAAGATCTTATGGAAAAGACTAGGGAGTTCATTCACCAAACACAGAATCATACTGCATTGTAAAAAAAATTGTAAAACTTAGGTGAAAAATAACTTCTGTGGGAAAATTCTCCAACCCAATAACAGTCACGGGATGACCTTTTCAGCCTAAATTTTGCAATTTGATTGTTAATTAACCACAACTCTGTGTTAGTCCCTAAACTGAGACCTACAGTCTTAAAGATCACTAAAGAAAAGACAGTTTCTAATGGAGATTGTGACTATGTACGATTCATTCCAAATGCAGTACATGTTATCATGAGAATGACACCTCACAGTTAATAACATAGTGTATTTTGTGACTGTGAATTATTCCGCATCCGAGAAAAATCAATAGCTCTCTAGTTACGAGTTTTTAATGACTAACAGAAACTAAAGATGTCTTCCTTGAGATGACGGTTTACATATTAGAGTGACAGAAAGTGATGCAACACAAAGGACTGTGCATCACTATTGCACAAAAGGGTTAATATAGGGGGTCCTGTGCATTACCATGTGACAGGTAAATGAACAGTTGGTTGTTTTCTCCTTAGTAAGGATGAAAGCTTGAGACATTACACTTTAAATATCATAGTGCTGATTAGGCCACCATCACTTTAAAGATTCTATTCACTGAAGTGGAACACTGCGCACTAGACCTTGATTGGAACTACTGCAACTAATGAATTAAATCAATCCATGGGGGAGGGAGGTTTATACCCCTCTTCCTTTTTTCTCTGCTATAAAGTGTTAACTGCGACAAGGGCAAAGGCATAGCATGTGTCTTGTTCCTTTATAGCTGTGCTACCACAATCTGGAGTGTGAGACTCAGATCAGTCACTGAGGACAGCGCCCGGCAACTCATTCGTTAAAGTGTGCCAACGTTCAATTTTCTTGTCTTTGTTTTTCAAGCAATCGAACCAGTGTTTAAGACGTTCTCCTTTAGCATTGATTCCCAAAACCACTCCACCTTAAAAAAAAAAAAAAAAATATAGAAATATAATCAACTATGCTAATATCATAATTTTTACAAGAACATAAAATCCATCATTGCACCAGTTGATATGTGATGTAATTTAATTTATACATATTCAACAAAAATGTATGGTTATATGCAAAAATATGATTCCTGGTCATGTGCTCCCATAATGTTTAGCATGCAACCATGTTGTAATGTGGCACTTTGAAAAGTATAAAGCAAACCTAGATTAAAATTAATAATATTGAATCTATGTATGCACTACCAAATGGTTAGCACAATGAAGAGAAGCATTCTATTGTACAAACTGTCACATGTACTTTTTATACTGCATATAATTAACTTTATTGAACAAAATCACTGTATACATATTTGTAAAAAAAAAACAGTGTCACTAATTAGCTTTTGTAGATATCCAGCTTTATAATTAATTAAAACAAATGTGAGCTATTTATATTTTAAAAATTTTTTTTTGTCAATTATATAAATCTTCCTTTGGTATGACATTCTATTAAGGACAAATTTTGCACCAAGGACACTAAAATAGGTTTTCATATTTTCATGTCTTATATAAAACACCACAGAAAAGTCCCCCCCCGGACAACTTGGGAAGGGGGAGCATGACGGCTGCACATGAATAAGGGGCTGGATTATAAAATTATACAATGTTGCAAAGTGGTCAGTTTGGTAGGAGGCCGGGGGAGCAGACTCACCAGTAAGAGACAAGGGACAGGAGAATACTGGCATTTCAAGGGAAAGGAGAATACTGACTTTTAAATTTGTCCAGTTTGTCCTGAAGATTTCTGCAAGCAAAAATAAGAAAAATAAGTTGTTAGGCTGACCACAGGCCTGTGTGACATCCCTTCCTGGATGACTACCACAACACTGATGGCTGAATCCGACCTGGTGAGGCTCCTGCAGGCCTACCAGGCATCCCACGGGCCGGGGGCGCTGGAGGCCCTGGTATCAGGCGTGGGAGTGGCATCAGGGACCGCAGGGACAATGAATGGCATTGTGGTGGCTGGCAGACGGAGGGCCAGATGGTCCAGGCCTCCGTCGCGTTTATCCCTCAGTCTGGTGAGGAGAGGTGTTCGGCGGCGACAAGGGAGCCAGGGGGTCGCTGGCAACGGTGAGAGGACATCGCCAGCGATAGCCGCAGGGCGCAGGAGACGGTCCAAACGAAGAGGAGCAGGTAAAGCCCAAGATGGTGGCCCCAGCAATGGCGGTGAGCCCACTAGAAGATTGCGCAGTCTGTGCGCGTCTTTTCCGGCAGGAGCGGAAGTGACGACATCACGCATGCGATGTAGTGTGCGAGCACATGAAGTCGGCGCAGGAACGCAGGGGGGAGAGCGCCGGTCCCAGGCCTGGGCGCAGCATCATCTACATGACAAGAGCAGCAGGTACAGATAGCGGCCCGGCAGTACAGGTGGCCGTGGGTCCCCAACATCACCTTCTGAAGAGTGCCCAGTCTGGACCACTGTTCCAGCACTGATTCCTGCGACAGTTACCGCTGAGTATTGCGCTAGCGCATGGGAAGCGCTGGCGACTACTAAGGGATCCAGTGAGCATGGTCTTCAAGAGGATAGTGTTCTCTCATTGCTTAGGGCTGTACTAGCCAGGCTGCCAGAGGGTGCTGCCCAGGCCAAGGCGCAGGTTAGTGTCCCTATGCAGGCGTTAGCGTCTGGTCGTCCCCCTATGCCCGGTTGCGAGATGGCACCACTAGGGATGCATATTCCCCTGGAGGTCAGGGATAAAATAATCAGGGGTGAGTTTATAGATGTGTTAACCCTTGTTCCCCTTGACTGGGAATCTGTGGACAGACCACGGTGCGGGGAGTCGACAGAGGGAGAGACAGGTAAGATTCCACGCACCTTTGGAAACTGGCTCCAAGGGTTCATGGTGTATGCGAGTATAGTGTTGCGAAGCTTCCCAGAGAAGGCCTCGGCACTGTTCGGATATGTGGATCTTAATTGGGGGGCGTACAAAGTTTATGGGGGCCAATGCTGGTTTCGCTATGTCCAGCAATTTCGGCAAAAAATGGCGTTTAGTACGGGTATGGACTTTGGGGTGCAGGACAGCAGCTTGTGGCTGCTGTTGATAACCCCCTCGAGGCCAGCCCCCTGTCACGGTGCTTCGGCAGGGGTGCGCAAGGGCGTGTGCTGGCTCTTTAATGAGAGCCACTGCAAGTGGTACGGAGTTTGCAGGTTTAAACATGAGTGTTCCCATTGCGGAGGGGCTCATCCAGCATTGCTTTGCTTAAAGAAAGGCCAGCGTTCATCAAGAGACAACGCGCCATGGACAGAGGGCGCCGGTGAGCGTGGTAAAGATGCGGCGTGGCTCGACCAATACCCTAACTGGCGGGCAGCTGAGATTTTGTCGGACGGGTTTGCTGGGATTCGGAATTCCATTTGTACATTCAGATTCCCCTTCCCTCACCGGTAATTTTAAGTCTGTGCTAGGAAAAGAAGACATTTTAGCGGAGAAGTTGGACAAGGAAGAGTGAAGGGGGCGCATGGCTGGACCGTTCACGGTTCCGCCCTTTCACAATTTACGGGCCTCTCCATTGGGTTTGGTGCCCAAAAAGGATTCCGGGGCTTTTCGGATCATTCACCACTTGTCATACCCGGCATGCAGGTCAGTGAATGATGATATTGATAAAGAGGTGTCCCGCGTTAGGTACGCATCTTTTGACAGGGCTCTTGAATTGCTTAGGGAGGCAGGAGCCAGGGCCTTGCTGGCAAAATCTGATATTGAATCCGCTTTCCGGCTCCTTGCGGTGCATCCGGAATGTTTTAATTTACTAGGTTGTCAGTTTAATGGTTCGTTCTTTTTGGACATATGTTTGCCTATGGGCTGTGCTATTTCATGTTCGTAGTTTGAAATGTTCGCCTCATTTCTTGAATGGGTGGTAGCGCAGGTCACTGGCTGTTTGTCCTTTATGCACTACTTGGACAATTTATGTTCGTGAGAGCTCAGGGATCGGACACATGCGTGCTATTGGAGTCATTTAGGAAGGTCTCGGTGGACTTTGGGGTTCCCCTGGCAGAAAACAAGACAGTGGGGCCAGTGGAGGTCCTCTCCTATCGGGGCATAGAGATTGATAGCTCGCTCATGGTCTTTCGTCTGCCGGAAGGGAAGCTAGAGCAATTACTCAGGTTGGTAGATATGGTGAAGGGTGCAAAAAAGCTGCAGCTGAGGCAAATCCAGGTGCTTTTGGGTCACCTCAATGTTACTTGTTGTGTGCTCTCTATGGGACGGACATTCTGTAGGCTTCAGCCCTTTCACTTTATTCGGGTTACCAGTCAGCTGAGGGATGATCTGCAGACGTGGAGTTCCTTCTTCGGTACGTATAATGGTCGCCATAACGTGTTGGTTGCGTCCTGCTACATCAAATACGGATCTTGAGCTGTTCACAGATGCATCGGGGTCTGTGGGGTTTGGCGCGTACTTGGCGTTTCTCGGGTGGTGAAAGGATGGATGCAATGTCGACGACCGGACTCTCGTAAGCCGATCTCATTTGAGGTACTGGTGAAGCTGTTGTCCTTCCTTCCTCCGGTGTGCTCATTTGCATATGAGGTTCGGCTCTTTCGAGTGGCCTTTTTACTGTGCTTTTTCGGAGCGCTGCGGATTGGAGAATTGGTAGCACCCAGCACCTCAACGCACTCGCGGCTGTGGCTCAGGGATTTGGAGCTGTCAGCATCGGGCATAGTGCTCCGTATACGAAGGTCAAAGACGGATCAGGCAGGCAAAGGGGCCCAGGTTCGTATTGGAGTTACAGGGGGTGTATAGTGCCCAGTTCGGCTAGTGAGGGAGTTCCTCCAGTTTTGGGGTCAAAGGGAGGGGTCCCTTTTGGTTCACCAGGATGGTACGTCGCACACGGCAGAGGCTTAGAGAGGTGTAGGAGGAAGGTCAACATGACGGTCTCTAGATTTATACGGTGCATGGGGGGAGTTGTAGTACGCCACTTTGAGCTGGAAGGAGATAATGCTAATGTCATGCAGGGGGATGGCGTACATTTGTCACCGGTAGACTTGAACATATTTAATGTGGGACTCCAGTCAGGAACTGAAATTGCGCTGTCGGCGGGGGGGTGCGATGCCGGTGCGGAGTAAGGTGCGCGAGGAGGGCATCGCGGTGGCGGTATCCTGGAAAAAGTTAAGACGAAGAGTCACTTTGGGGAGATGACAGCCCACACGGAAGCTGATGGCGGAGTACCGGCTGTTTAGGCTCATGGGGAAAAAAGGTTGGGGGAACTGTCTGTTGGGCAACTACTCAACAGCTGATAGATTTGGATAGTGTTAAAGGTTATAAATTTAATAAAGCTTTGGCCGTTGACCTTATCCACTAAGAAGGTGTCCGGTGTGTTTTTGGGGCGCAACGGTGGGGACATGGATTATGGGTCAGCAGTCATGTGCAATACAGGTTTATGTACCTGCATATTGCTTTACCAGAAAAAAAAATACCTGCTTACCAAGACTAACAATACAAAAGACAGGAAATAAACAGGGGAATAGCCAAAATGAGAAGCATGACGGATTTAGGGCCATCAATTTTAATTGAGAAGTATATCAATAGTCTGAGGTGATTCAAGCTACTCTGGGTATATCGTTTTTTGTTTGTCTAAATATCTAGCTGTGAAATTGTCTTTTGTATTGCTGTTTTTTCTAATTTATTTATTTTTTTTAAATAGTAGTCTTATTTGAGTTCATGTGAATACTTGTGATGCTGATTTGTTATTATGTAGGGCTTGATAGGCAACCCATCAAACC